GCAGTCAAGCCAATGAAATGTACTCCAAGTCAGAAAGAGTGAAAAAGTTTCTGCCACCGGGGATCTGACAGCAATGCAGGCTGTTTCTATGGAGTCCCCAAAGACATTTTTACATTAGAGCTTACCTATGATTTTTACAAAGGTTAGAAGTGTTATTATTCATTACAAGGTAATTAGAAGAGACTCTTTATCATACTAAAGAGATACATGCCAGACATTTCCTTATCAGGCTAAAGATATACATATCAGACGTCTGGGCTCAAATCTTCCTGTGGGAGGTCATAAGCCACAGGTGGCTGGCCAGACAGAGCAAAACAAAGTCATTAACAAAGGTATGTGGAAAGGAGAAGGCAAAGAAAAAAGAAAAAACACTTATGGGTTCATCGTTGGCGTTAGTTATGTCAAGCTCTCGGTTGCACATTTTGAAAAGGAGAAAACATGCTGGGGAGTATTAGGGTCACAAGATGATACAACCTTTCAGCACTTACTGATTAAGATCAAAGACTACAGCCTTCAGTATGAATTACACCTCAACATAAAACAAAAATCCTCACAACTGGACCAATAAGCACCATCATGATAAATGGAGAAAAGATTGAAGTTGTCAAGGATTTCATTTTACTTGGATCCACAATCAACGCCCATGGAAGCAGCAGTCAGGAAATCAAAGGACGCATTGCATTGGGCAAATCTGCTGCAAAAGACCTCTTTAATGTGTTGAAAAGCGAAGATGTCACCCTGAAGACTAAGGTGAGCCTGACCTAAGGCATGGTATTTACAGTCGCATCAATATGCATGGGAAAGCTGGACAGTGAATAAGGAAGACTGAAGAAGAATTGATGCATTTGAATTGTGGTATTGGTGAAGAGTATTGATATACCATGGACTGCCAAAGAATGAACAGGTCTGTCTTGCAAGAAGTACAACCAGAATCCTCCTTAGAAGCAAGGATGGCGAGACTGCATCTTACATTCTTTGGGTATGTTGTCAGGAGGGATCTGTCCGTGGAGAAGGACATCATGCTTCCTAAAGTAGAGGGTCAGCGAACAAGAGGAAGACCCTCAGTGAGGTGGATTGACACAGTGGCCACAACGATGGGCTCAAGCATAACAACGATTGTGAGCCTGGCGCAGGACTGGGCAGTGTTTCGTTCTGTCGTACATGGGGTCGCTATGAGTTGGAACCGACTTGACGGCATCTAACAACAACAAGGCAAGAGTGGGAAGACGGACAAGCGTGTTGCCACAGCCATGTCTGCTGGAGTCCAAGGAACGTTACAGAGCCATCAGTATACCTTAACATTACAAATAAGCTTTACCTTTTGACAGATTGGCTAGAAATTGTGATCCTACATTTTGAATTGTCTTTCTTAACAATGATTTGTACAGGTTTCCATAATGACAGTCAGGAGGATCCTCAATGGTCCAACAAATTTTCTATTCACTGAATGCTAATAGAAAAAGATAAGAATGGAAAGTCTTTTGTGTTCTTTTTAAATGGTTTATGTGAAAGGTTCCCTAAAAGAAATTTTCCGAGATTATCTTAGCTATTGTCTTTGTACCTCAGGGCCCAGTTAATGTGTCCTTGTGAGTCCAGCTCCAGCTGAGTCACATTCTCTGTGCTCAAGGACAGGGAATAATGATTCCAGTATTACTTCCTAAATCAATATAGATATTGGAGATTTGTTTACCATTCAATTCTCTTATCATCACAAGTCCATCTTTTCTGCCCCATCCACATTCTCATTTCCTATTTACTCTGCAGTCCCAGTGACTTCTTCTGAGAGAAGGAAAGAATCAGTAGGTGCTGACTGGAATTTTTCAAATGCATGGAAACAGCAGGGCACATTATACTGTGATTGGGTGTGCTAATCCCTGACAGTGGTTTGTATGAGACTGTGTGTGTGTCCGTCCGTGTGTCCTCTTCTTCCCAGTTATTGCCCTCTCATCTCTCCCACCCCACCCGAGTATTAATTTTCCATAAAAATGTTTAGGGTAAGAGGATAGGTTAGTTAGATGTTTTAAGTAAATAGTTTACCATCAGAGCTCATTGATTAAAATGCAAATCCTGTCTCTCTGTAGGTAGGACGGGGCTTTGATGTAGCCTTTTGTTGAGGAGGGGAGTGTTGGGGAGAATCAACTGCTGACAAGGTCATGAGGGCTCATTAGCAGAAGTTGCTTCCTTTCTGTGCTCAGGCAGCTTAGTGGAGTGCTGAATTTTGGGACATGGCAGCTAAGAGAAAGCTGGCTCTGTCCTGACCACCCTGGGTGAGGTGGACAGAGTTCTTCCTGTTTGCAGCAGCCTCTTGCTTGGCCGTGTTTGAGTTGTGATGAAATCTCCAGCCCTGCCCAAAGGGTGAGCATGGGGTGGGGGGAGGGGGTGTACCCCCTGCAAAAAAAATCAAAAACAAAAACACAGTTGCTGCTGAGCTCACTCCAACTCATGGCAACCCCATGTGTGTTTGAGTAGAACTGTGCTCCATAGGGTTTTCAGTGGCCGATTTTTTCAGAAGTAGATCGCCAGGCCTTTCTTTTAAGGTGCCTCTGAATGGACACAAACCTTCAACCCTTCAGTTAGCAGCTGAGTGTGTTAACCATTTGCACCACTGGGGGTACTCCAGATTGTTACCTGACCCCAAACCCATTGCTGTAGAGTCAATTCCGACTCATAGTGACCCTATAGGATAGAGTAGAACTGCCCGTTTTCCAAGGAGTGGCTGATGGATTGAAACTGCCAACCTTTTGGTTAGCCGCTGAGCTCTTAACCACTGCACCACCAGGACTCCTAGATTGTTACCTAAGAAGACATAATCAGAGAAGTCCTGAGGGCCTAGCTCTTCATGGGAAGATATCAGCTGCAGGTTCTCAGCTTCCCTTCTTTTATATGAACTAAATTCTGCAGCTGTGCAATTTCTGCTTACTTAAAACCAGTCTGAAGACAGTGATTTCCAAAGGGCCATGAAAGTGCCAAAATGGATTTAATTTGTTGTCATTGAAAATGTGTGCCATAGCGTTTGTTTGTGTAAGGAATCAGACAAGCACAATTTTGTAGGACTTCTGCAAAACACGAGGGGAGATTTTGGTCAGGAGCTGTGCTGTCCAGTACTGTAGCCATGTGGCTAATGAGCACTTGAAATGTGGCCATCCAAACCGAGATGTGTTATAAGGATAACTTGTACATTGTGTTTTAAAGAATTAGTATGAAAAAAAGGAGTGCAAAATAACTTATTAATAGTTGCTTAATATTGATTACATGTTGAAATATTTTGGATTCACTGGGATAAATAAAATACACTAAAATTAATTTCACCTGTTTCTTTTTTACTTTTTGAAGTGGGCTGCTAGAAATTAAAAAATTATATATGTGGCTCCTATTGTATTTCTGTTTTATTTCTCTAGCCCTGGTGGCATAGTGGTTGAGATCGACTGCTAACCAAAAGATTGGCAGTTTGAATCCACCAGCTGTTCCTTGGAAACGCTATGGGGCAGTCCTACCGTGTCCTGTAGGGCCGCTATGAACTGGAATCGACTCGCCAGCAGTGTGTGTGTTTGTTTTTCGGGATTGTAATTCTGTTGGGCAGTGCTGGACTGGAGTTCATACCTCTCTTGTTTGCAGAGCGTTCCTTTTTCCCACTAGAGGGGGATGCGTGCCAGCTTCAGAAAGTCTGGTTCTTAGCATGCACATTTCACTGCTCCTGAGTGTACTCTTTTCTAGAAGAACAGAAAAAGAACTCAGGTTTTTGCTTTGTTTCAGTTCTTCAGAAGTCTGATGTCTCCAGACCTTGCAGTCTGTCTGAAAATGACACCAGAGCAGAGGAGGGAAGAGGCAGGGAGGTTTCCCACCCTCTGTATCAGCAAACCCAGAGGTTCTGTTACTCCTTTGTTGACTTACAGCAGCTTGCCATTGGGTCATTGACTGTTTCCTTGGAATTGTGTCTGCAGATTGTGGCACCCACACCGCGTGGTGTGTTTGCAGCTGTGACAGAAAGGGCCAGTGCCCAAATGCAGCACACCCTTCCCCTTTCGTAGCACTCATCAGCACTTTTGTCATTTCTTGATTGTCTGTTGTCCCCAGTGTACAGTAAGCCCACGAGGACAACAGCCTGCCACTCTTGTTGTTTCATTAGTGTCTACCACCGTGCATGGTTAATGTGCACCCACAAGAAGTATTTGAATGAAGATTTTGTTTTATCTTTTATTTTAGACCTATTGTATTACTTATAAACATGCTTATTACATTATATTATTCCATTTTATAATCTTGTTGTTAGCTGACGTTGAGTCAGCCCTCAATACCCGGTGACTCCATGCACAAGGGAACAGAATGCTGCCTGGTCCTGTACCATTCCCACGATCGGTTGCAGATCAGACTGCTGTGACCCATATGTTTTCAATGGCTGGTTTTGGGAGTAGCTTGCCAGGCCTTTCCTCCCACTCTGCCTTTAGTCTGGAAGCTCTGCTGAAACCTGTTCACCATCATAGCAACATGCAAGCCTGCACTGACACATGGGTGGTGGCTGTGCATGAGGTGCATGGCCAGGAATTGAACCAGGGTCTTCTGCATAGAAGGCTAGAATTCTACCACTGAACCACCACTGACCCCATAGTCTTGTTGGCGTTATATCATGTAATGTAGTTATGATCACCATAATTTTGTGGCATGGTCTGTTGTGAACTTTTAAACTGCCTTTACAAGCAGAATAGTGTCACTAACCTCTCCATGTTTCTCTCTGTTGGAAGCTTTTCTCTCTTGATCCCCTCTCCTTTTGTAACCCTTCTTACAAGATGAAGGGGACATTTCCATCAGCGCTAGCACGTATTTCCATGAACCCAGGTCACAGTAAACCGGAGACAAAGGAATGTGACCTGTCTCCATGCCTGTTGCTTAGGCCATAGGCAGCTTTTCCATGGATATATTCCAGTTTCTTGTAGTGCCTCTGGTGTTAAATCAGCCCAGCCCCAGTTAGATTTGTGACTAATGGAGACTCGTTTTCTTGTCAGAACATGAAGAGGAACTGGACCAAGAATTTGAGCTGGAGACTGATGCTTTATTTGGAGGACTGAAGAAGGTATGAAGTGGGTATAAGATAAACCTTCTCAATTTGCATTAGTGATTTTACTATTTTGTATTACTTTTATTTTTGGTGTTGACCCCAGCAGAATGTTTAGTAACAATTTGGAGTTAAGTACCTTTTCTGTTGTAACGTTGTCTGAACTAACGTTGTGTGTATGCTAGGCTGGGTAAGGCGTTTTCCATGGTCTTTGTCTTCTTGTCCCCTGCTCTCCTCTTGAGATACCGGAAATCCGATTATGTAACCTTATCAGTTAGTACAGTTTTCACTTTATAGAGTTCAGGAAGTTTTTTTCTGACTTGCCCATTTCTATTAGAATCCAGTGTGGCCCCTGAATTCCCCTTACCAACTGTTGGCTATCAGAGGAACGTCTTTGTCCTTCCTGCCTTTAGTGCCCCCGGCCGTCTACACTGTTACAGAACACGTGGATGTTCCCCTCTTCTCCCTGTGTCTTGGATCCTTAGTGCTGCTGTGACAGATGCCACAAGTGGGTGGCTGTAAAGAACAGAAATTTATTTTCTCACAGGTCAGAAGACTAGAAGTCTGAATTCAGCTTGTGGCTCTTGGGGGTGGGCTTTCTTTATGTGTTTCAGCTTCTAGTAGCCAACAATCCTTGGACTTCCTGGGTTTGTAAATTCGTCTGCCTCCATTGTCTTCAGATAGACTGTCGTCCCCACATGTGCTTGCTTGTCTCTGTGTCTAATCCACTCTTTGTATCGCTCAGAAGTGATTAGGTTTAGAACACTCCCTACACTGATAGCCATCAACTTAACAAAGAAAAAACTGTTTCCAGCAGGATTACATCCACAGGTCTAGGAGTTTGGATTCCAACACATGTTTTTGGGGACACAGTTCAATCCGTGACAGTGAACTGGCTCGTTTTTCTTCTCCTGCGGCTCATTTTACCTCTGTAGGTAGTGGACAGGGTCACCGTTGTTCCGGATACACCTGTACCCTCCTAGACGTGACGTCAGCACTTCTGTTCTTCAGAGCATGTCGTGGGTGGCTACCACAGCCTCATCCTCGGTGGAGGGGTGCTGGACTATCTTTTACACCCACCAGAACCTCTTTTCTTTTGAGGCTGGGATTCTTCTCATTTCTCCCCTTTCAGTGTTCCAGGAATGATCAAGTCTGGACTTCAGCTCATGGTTTGGCGTTTAGGTTAAGGCTAGTTAACCTATTTATTTCTTCCAAGTGTCATGATAGATTTTTAAAAAGATATCAATGCATTTTTTTTTTTAAACTGTGTTTACTCTAAGTGCATGGTATACCAGGTGTATTGTAAGTTCAGTCAGCTTTTGTGGGCTGGTTTGGATACGTAAAATATTGCTTGCACTTCAAGTTCTGAACACCTGACTTACAAATAAACTTTTGGAAGACAGTTGATTGCCAAACTGGGCACTGCCTGTACTGACATACTTCTCCTTGACGGTTGGCAAATCTTGCTTAGAACTGTAACAGATTTACCTTGATTTCCATTTCAGTTTTCTAGGGTAGCCCGCCTCTCTTTCCCAGCTCTGTGCACAACCGCTGTATTAGATACAAGACCCACGTCTGGGGCTAGGAGAGTGGCCTGCCATGAGTGAGGTACCACCAGATAGTTCCATGAAAAGTTAGACGTAAATTGAATATTCTATTCATTGAATTCAATTGTAAATATTTCTTGCTTAAATAAGGCTTTTTGAGTATTATGTAAAACATGTAAAGTGGGTGATATTGTGCCCATTTCTGAGATGAAGAAACTGGGGAAGTTTTATGCCACCGTGGAACTTGAGATGTAACAGGATGTCGCAGGATGTCTGGGAACAACTCTAAGAATATAACTATGGGATCTCTTCCAACAGGAAAAAATGGTGACCTCTTTCCCTTTCAGAGTCACAGTTCAGGCATTTCAGATAGTACTGTATTGTTTGCCAGGGACAAAAATAAGCAAACTCATTTTGGACGAGACCTTTAGCTGAAGAGAAACAACTGTGAGGGAGCAGGAGAAACGGAGCACAGGGGCAGGCCCCAGCGTTGGAGCCCCCACAGATTTCATTGTCAAGGGGCAGGCACAGCCCTGCTGCGAGCTGCTGCTTCTAGACAAAGGGGCTTTGTCTCCCCTGACTTTTCAGCTACCACAGTTCTACCAAGTCCAGCTGCTTAACAACCTGCCTGGGCTACAAAGTCCTGGGAAGATGCCTCTTCTAAGCAGTCTCCACAACAGCCCTCCATAATAGGGCACAGGTTGGGGGTGTGAAGTTCTGGCCAGCCTGCCTTCATGGAAAAGTGCACAAAGTGCACATACACGCCTTTGGACCTCCGAGGATCTGGTCCTTTGTCATCTCTGTCTTAGATGCACCCATCCGTCTGACCATCCCTCCCTCTGTGCAGTGCCTATAGAGCATCTTCTGCTCTCCTCATCTCTGTTTCTCAGTACCTTGCATATGGAGTGGTTCTGGGTTTAGACAGAAAATGATGAGGTCCTGGCAGACGAGAGCTTGAAGGAAATTGGTACTGTGTCCTTGGTGAAGGTCATAAAACAGGCATAGGCAGTATATAGTGATAGGGAGTTCAAGGATGTTGGTTGAAAACCTTATTTTAGCAGCAACAAAGCTCTGATAGGTTCTGCTCACTCCTTGCTGAATATTTCCTTTTTTAGGAGGTGACAAATGCAACTGTCATCTGAATTCTAATCAAAAGAAGATATTAGTCATGAGTAGAAATCGTGAACTTCAGAAGAAGGCTTACGTTCTTTGACCAGTCCACATCCTGAATGTCAGTCTACAGCAGGTGTCTAAACCTCGGCACTACTGATATTTTACGCCAGATCGTTCTTTGTTGGGGGAGGGACTGTTCTATACATTGTAGGATGTTTAGCAGCATTCCTGGCCTCTGCCTATCAGATGCTAGTTGGACCCTTTACCCCCATCCCCAGTGATGACAACCAAAAATGTCCCCAGAACCTTCACCTGTTATTGATGGGATTACAAAATGGTGCAGTCACTGTGGAAAATGGTTTGACAATTCCTCAAAAAGTTAAACATTGAATTACCATATGATCCAGCAACTCCACTCCTTGGTATATACCCAAAAGAATTGAAATCAGGAGTGCAAACAGATTCATTCTTGTGCACTGATGTTCATTGCAGCACCATTCACAATAGCTAAAAAGTAGAAACAGCCTAAAAGCCCATTAATAGATAAACAAAATGTGGAACATATATACAATGGAATATTACTCAGCCATAAAGAGGAATGAAGTTCTGATACATGCTACAACACAGGTGAATCTTGAGAACATGCTGATTGAAATAAGTCAGTCACAAAAGGACAAATACTGTATGATCCAAGTTATATGAAATATCTAGAATAGACAAGTATATAGCTGTGACGTTATGTGTCAGCTTGGCTAGGCTATGATTCTCAGTGGTTTGGCAGACATTGGACCGATTGCTCTTTCATAATGGTATATAATGTAATCACTTTCCATTTTGTGAGCTGATGTGAGCAGCCAGTCAGTTGAAAGGGGAGCTTCCTTGGGGCTGTGGCCTGCCTCCAGTGTATAAATGGATGTTCTGGCAAAGCTCACTCTCTTTCTCGACCCTGCACTCTTCTCGTTGCCTGACCCCCAGTTCTTGGGACGTTAGCCTGTGGAAGTCTCTGGCCTGCCACCTGACCTACAGATTTTGGGTTTTTCAGCCCCCACAACCATGTGAGCCAGCAGAGGTCTTCAGCCTGTTGCCTGACGGATGGGTTTGGGACTTGCCAGTCTCCACAACTGCATGAGCCATTTCCTCACAATTGCATGAGCCATTTCCTTGAAGTAAATTTCTCTCTGTGTATATTTGTGTATACGTTACTTGTTTTGTTCCCCTGGAGAACCCAGACTAAGACAATAGCTGAAGTTTATTAGTTCTTACCAGAGGAAGGTGAGAGGGAGGGACTCAATGCTTAGGGGACACCGAGCTTCTGTTAAGCATGGTGGTATAATCTGGGAATGAATAAGGGCAGGGGTTGAAAAAGATGAAGAACATAACATCACTGAACTGTACATATGCAGATTGTTGAAATGTCAAATATTTATTTATATATATGTGTGTTTACCGCAATAAAGAAAAAAAAAAAGTCTCCAGACATTGCAAAAGCCCTTGTTGAGAAACACTGGTCTACAATCATGTTTAAGTGCTTTTGCCCACCCCGTATGCCTTGCTGGTTTTCCATTTCTTACCTTTGCTCCTCTGGTTCCCTCCTCTGGATTGTGCCTCGCTCCTCCCTGTCTCATCCTTACTCACTCTTCAGGTCTCAGCCAGATATCTCCCTGTCATGGAAGTGTTGCCTGGACCTTGAAGTTGGGCTTAATGCATGTAGTTCCTGACACTTCTCTGCCCCTTTCTTCTCACTTCCTTCCACAAATACTGTGCCTGAGTCCATATTGAGTGCTGGGGTCACAGCGGTGAACCAGACAGACAAAGCTCCCATCCTGGTATCTCCTAGTGAGGAGACACTGACAGTATATGAATAAACCTAACAGCTACAGTTTGAGGTAAAGGATATGAAGGAAATAAATAGGGTGATGTGATAGTAATGCTTTGGATTGTATCTTTTTTTACCCTATTAAGATACAGTTGTTTGCACAAACTTATTTTGCATTGTCTGACCCACACTAGACTGTGAGTCCCACAAGGGTAGGGCTGGGATTTAATCATTTTTGTCTCTTCAGTGCTGGGCACAGGCAAGGTGAGTGATTTGTTGAATTTAGTGGAAGGAAAAAATGAATAACGCTGTGCCAGGTTGCAACATTGAAGTAAAATGCATCAGTCCTAAATGTGTGGCTGGGAACACACGTTGTCTTGGTTAGCTGACATCGACTCAGCCCCTGACTCATAGCTATCCCTTGCACAAAGACACAAAATGCTGCCTAGCCTGCGCCATCCCCATGATTGGTTGCAGATCAGATGTTGTGATCCATAGGGTTTTCATTGGCTGATTTTTGGAAATAGATCACCAGGCCTTTC